TCCCAATTTACTCCTCAGGTTTTTTGGAGAGACATCTACCATCTACTTATGGGGACAGCTGCCACAGTTACCTTAACAGCTAGCTGAAAAGGTAAACATTTATCTTGTTTGTATTATACAGAAAAAATGTCGTCCTCTGTTGACACATGCAGTATTTATAGGCATATTATCTGACTGTGGGGCAGCTGACTACCTTCACACCCAGCCGACGAACCAAAGAGCGAGAGTCTGTGAGCCAAGACCTGTGCCCTTCTTTTGCCCTGAAAGAGGAACTCAGGTGTGCTCAACAGTTGACCTGGAAACCCTGGGATTCCACTGGTACCTCTGGAACTCAGGGATGCTACATTTTCCCAGGAAGATCCAGACTATAAAGTGAGTATGTCAAAATACCGAACAATCCAGATGGCTGACTGACTAGCCCAAAGCTCATCATTTATACTTTAATTATGTTCATAAATCAAATGTTATAACCCACCAAACCTATTCTGAGACAGACCCAGACTCCAAGATTTATTTTTAAGTAATGAGGTAAGGCCAAGTACGTTTTCTGGGTGATCACTTTACGCCTCGTTTGGTGTTCTAAGGCACAAGGCTACCAGCCAGACGACACTTTCTGCCCAAGTGCAATAACTACCCAGAAATGTATCGCACTGAAGGGCCTAATGTCATTATAAAATGGAACTGCTATATAAAAATAAGAAAAATAGTTAGGTCTGTGCACTTATGGAACGTTAGAGTTATGGAGATGGCATCACCAACAGCCAATCAATTAGGTCGAGTGATCTGAGGTTTTCATAATACACTGTAATTTTTTAAAACCCTATAAAAGACATTTAGCAAGACTCTTACAGCAGGCAGGATTTGTTCATTAGTCAAAGTTGCACAGAGGGTTAAATACCAGGAGGCTTTAGGTCACACTACAGTAGCAACCAATTAAAAAAATAATATTAGAAAGACATTCCAATTTGATGAGGCTTTCTTTAAATGTGCTTTGCTCTCTCCATAAAGGGAAAAAAATATATAAAAGGAAACTCTTAAAGAGGTTAGAACGGCTTGCTGGCAGATTACAATTGATTTCATGCCAGTCTGACCTTGCACCACATTCTATGATCTTTCCAGAAGATGAAACTCGAGACTCTATAACCTGTAGATCACTTTCTTATGTAAATGAAAAGTCATCGTCTCCTCTCTATATCACAACACCAATGTATCGGGTTTCGAAATTTATTAATTAAAAAAAAAAAAAAAAGGGTACTCTGCAGTTTCCTTTTGCCTGGGAGGTCATCCTTCCCATGTACCAGTCAGGAGTAGAGCTGAGGCGGGAGGAAGACGCCCCTGATATCCCAGCACGAGACTTATTACCACGCGGGGCTCCCGACACTCTCTCCTGCTAAGAATTTCTACTTCAGGTGATGTGGGCATCCAATGTCTTTGGGCGCTCTGACTGCAACCAGGTCCCAGGGCTTGGGTGTAAATTTGCTCCTGCAACTACATTCAGGATACAGGCCCCTCATGGCCCTTCCTTAGCTTTCGTCCAATATTCTGAATATCCATCAGAGGGGGACTGAGGATGCCTGTGGAGCAAGTGCGGATGGTTCCAGGGCCTAGCAGGGAGAGCTCAAGGGCAGTGAGGGCCCAGATGTATCAGAAGTTTGGGTCACCCCCTGCGTGTTCGGCTGGGGAAGCACCAACCCAAGAGCCTTTGTCAATCATGGAGGACTACCGCAGTTTGGAGGAGCACGGCGATGCAAAGATTAACCTGACATTTGGTGAGTATTAGGGGTTTTTTGAGCTCAAGGCGAGACTCGGCCCCCACGGTAGGGCTGCTTGGATGGCTGCAAGAGGGCGGCTTAGCCCTGAAGGAAGACAGCTTCTGGTAGCGCGAGGTGATCGGGCCTGGTTAGGGAACAGTCACAGCGAGCTTTCAGAGGACCTCCCCATCTTGCAAAAGGTTTGCTTTCTAATGTCATGATACGTTCATGAATAATTTTCACTGCCATTTATTTTGTCTGTTTGCAAAAGGTGAAGGACCTCCCGCTGCTACATCTGTAGTAGAATCGGGGCGCCGCAACTGCACCTGTGGAGGGCAGAGCCATGGTCTGACAGAGTCAAACCTGGTGGGGGGCGGGACCGGAGAGCACGC